GATCTTTAATTTAAGAAATACTCAATATTTAATAAGATTTCTACAAAAAAATATCATATCTATCATATTTCAGTTGTAATTCTTTAATTTTGCTAGTTTACTATTCTATTCTATATTTGATTTTCTATTTAATTTTTTCATTAAATTAGGAGATTATTTTCCTTATTATTCACATGACCTACACTATAAATAGGTCATCAATTCCTACTCATAATAATTGAAGTTTTGAGAACAATAAAATTACAAGATTTTAATTTCAACCAGTAAAATTTTCTTCAATTTTCTTGTTGAGTGTAGAATTCATGTTTCATTATTAAGGTAACTTATAGCGTTTATTTATTTTTAATTAATTTGAATTTATCGAGATTTTTCTTGTGGCGTTCTAATTAATTCATTTATCTCTATTATTTTGGTTTTCACTCCTCTATTGACTGTGAGTCAAATTGTAGCACCCGGAAAGGAGGAAAAAAAAAAAAAAAAAGGGGGCCACGTCAGCAGCCATGTCAGCAGGCCCGGTCAGCAGTCCCGGCCAACCGGGGCCTGCCACGTGGTAAGACCGCGTCACTCCGAAAGGAGCCACGTTGGCGATCCGCGTGGGTGCGATCCGACGGCTCAGATCAATCGCGCGATCGGACGGTCCAGATTCAATCGCACGGACGGCCCAGATTCAATAAAAAACGAACGGCCCAGATTAAAACGAAATGAACGGCTGAGATTAAAAGGCAAGGGGTTATAAATAGAACCCCCACACCAGACCACAAACCCTAGCCGCCCGCCGCTCGCCGGAGAAGACGAACCAGAGGCCGACCGCCGCCACCCGCCGCCGCACCGGGGAAATTTCCGACCGCCGATCGAGGTAAATTTCATACCCCCGACTCGTTTTTCTCCGCTGATTCCTCCTATGGCCAAATCGAGGCCGAAATCCCGGCCAAACGGCCGGAATACGCGGCCGAAGCCCAGCGGCGCCGCCGCGCCCCCTCTCGGTTTTTGCCTCCGACGAGGCCCTTCCCGGCCTCCGTTCGATGCAATTTTTATATCACCGTGATCACCATTCTTTTCTCTACAGGTTGATCGGAGCCGAATCACCAAAACACGAACCTCGCCGGAGAGCCGCCGCACCCGAGAGCGCCGCCGCCGGTAAGCTCCGTTTTTCCGTGATTTTTTGGCCCCCCGAGGGCCCTAGGGTTGTTTTCTGACAATGACCAATGCGAGTGTGGCCGAATTCGGCCGAAAACGGCCGAAAACAGCCAACCCGAGGCGACTCGCCGCCGCCAGCGGCGGCGCCGTCGCCGGAGCACGGCGGAGCCGCCATGCCGGAGTTGCGATTTGGGCCGAAAGAGGCCCTGGGCCTAATTTGGGTTTTTTTTTGGAACACGTGCAGGTACTGTTAGTGTGTTTCAGTTCCCCGGAAAAAATTCAGGGAAAAATTAGGGACGGCCTGCAGGCTCACTGTGAATCGTATTCGGATCCCGAAAACAAGCAAGGACCCCTCACTCTATTTCCTATCACGGTATTAAAGTTCAAAATGATAAAACGGTATTTCTTGAATTAACGAATGTGTGAAATTGCTTAAGGTGGCTAATGGAGCCCGAGTCTAGTGTGATTGGTGATTTACTGTTATTTGGCCTGTTTACAGCTTTAAATGCAAAATGAGGTTTGATGTGTTCATTTTACAGATTTGTGTGCATATACTACGTTTTTATTTATCATGGGTTGAATGACTGAAAAAACTGATACTGTATGTTGTCTGTTTGGCATGAATTACTGTTTTGCTTGTTTGTATGTGAATTGATGATGCTGACTGAGGAAAATGAAAATGAAAGATTGTGTAGACTGATAATTGTATTATGGGGGTCAGCCTGACTAGATATCCTGGGAGATGGGTGGACGGACCGGGTCCGTAGGGAACCCTACCGGGGATTGTGGTCTCACATGCCGGACGGGTATGGAGATCTTATGGGTTTTGGCGCCCATACCGGA